AATACTGTCAGTACATACCAACAGCTACAAAGATTGGTTTAAACAGTGTTCTGACAAATTTTACCAGTTGTGAGAATTTCTTTAATCTCACATATTCAGAAAAAACACTTTGAAACATGTCAAGGAGACACAGTTCTTATGTCTTACAAAAGATACAATTTTTTTTTTAAAAACAGCTATTCTAGCATTTATCTCCACCTAAATGGAACAAAGATTCATCTCACATAACCAAGAAGTCACTGACTTTTAAATATATATTTTTTCCCAAAAAATACCTATTTAGTGTCTCTAGAAACACGTGTAGCATTTGTAAAATACACAGCATTAAGACTCAGTGGATTCTGAGACTCAAATTCTTAGAGTATGCTAGTTTCTTCTCTAAGGCATTCTGCTTTCCCCTGTAAGAAAAGTCAAGTCCCTTTTCTACTACCTCTAACCTGGTTCCTACCATCCATATCTGTACCCACACTTCTTTTCAGGTCCTCTTTATTCAGGGATTCTGAATGAAAACTGTTTAAAAATCCAAGAGAACATCGTTTTTTTTTCTCTCTTTAAAATTAAAAAAGGTAATATATTAACCACTGTCAATTTCCTTCTACCCTGTTTCTGAGATTCTGTTTCATTGCTTTTTTATTAAAATAAAATTTTAAAAAACTAAAAAGAACAAGAAAAAAACTGAAAACATCAGCTACTTAAAAAGAAAAAACTTTAAAAGATAGAAAAAAAACTTAAAAGATCATCTAACCCTAATCCCTCATTCTATAAACTGTATTTTAAGAAACTATGTTTAACATAAAGATGCTACAGGTAAAAACCACAGCTACTTCAAGCTATCTTTCAAGATTATTTATGATAATCAATACCAATCAGATATCAAGTCTCTCAATTCTCATTCCAGATAGATATTTAAGGGAAAGTGTTCCAACAATAGCTCTGAATCACTCCCCATGGGATCACATACATTTATTGACCAAGGCTTAAGTGAAGTTTGAAAATCACTCTCTAACCCGCAGTGTTTTTATGAAACCCATTCCCTGAAACACTCTACCTCAAACTTTCAAAATTGTCTGCCCGTTTTAAACTACGTAGTATTTAGGAGCCTCAATTCTGAAGGACAAAGGCAAGAAAAGAAATAAAAAGAGACCATGTTAGGTCATTTAACCCCACTTTCCTCATCAATCTTTGGTATTTTGGATAGTTCTCCTAGGTTCTTATCCTCCTCACATTGATAAAGCAATTCGTACTCAGCTTATTTTCTAGTGGACAGCAGTGAAAGAGCTTCTTCCGTGTACACAGTTTCTTGGTCCACCTCTCGGACATTGCTCTGATCAAAAAATTTCCTGTCCCAGAAGGGAGAAGGGAGCACTCTGACACTCTGCTCCCTTCAGGACTAGAGAACAAGGAAACCTCACCTGCCTGTTGATGGACACTGTGGGATAACACGCTTTCAATCTGTTTCATTTAGCATCAGTTCTTTTCAAAACTACTTAAAATTGTGCAGCGTAACTTATCAATAAGTAGCATTTTTTAGAATCACAGATTAAGCACTTAAAATGTTTAAAAATAGTTAATTCACTGAACTAGAATCTCTATTACATAAAATCGACATTTCAGAATTCCTAGTAAAAGAAAATAAGCTAAGTATACAATGAACAATTAACCTTTTTTAGAAAGATGGACTCACCATGCTTTTTAGGCTGGCCTTAAACTCATTAGTCAGCCCAGATGGGCTTCAAACTCATAGTGATCTTCCTGCCACAGCCTCCCAAGCCCAAGTCCTGGGATTACAGGTGTGTGCCACCACACTTGGCAGTAGTTAACTTTTAAAAGATACAGTATTCAGTTATGCTTTGACTCCTATATTTTAAGTAGAAATATATTCAAAATAATGCTATAAATGAGGTCAAGATACAGAAAACTGCCTCTATCTTCTCCATATTAGACTTCATGACATACTATCCAACACTATCTCAAATGACAAATAATACCATGGCTTAAGGAGAAATACATTAATATAATTTTACAGTTTTAAAAGTGGCAAATAGGCAAAAATATTTTCCATTTTAATTTGAAGCCATCTATTTGCAGAAAATCCTCATGGAATTATGGATGAGTCTCTTGAACAAGTTTTAAACAACTTTATTATAAAAAATGAGGTTGGCACAACACTTTTGCAGGACACCTTTTCCAAAAGACTAAGCCCAGTGGGTTTTTACATTCTTTCAATTCAAGAGCAAATCTGATGTTTTCCTTCAACTTCTAAATCTACTTATTAAAGTGCTAAAGAGCTGTGCTTTAAATATGGATTATCAACTTGTCTACTGAAGCTTCTAATCAGAGAAAAAATAATCAAAACAGTAGATTTATGAAACAAAGAATCCTGCAAATTAACTTGGGGGGTACAACTCTTTGTACACTGTGCTCATCAGGCAGTAACAGTTAATATCAAAATCTATACAAACTACTTTAAGTGTTTTGTCAATTTCCATGTCATATGACATAGCAAGTGGGCAGATTTAACGAATTGAAAGTACATTCAACTGTAAAAAAACTATGGAAAAAAAATTCATCTTCTTGAGCCATACCACAGGCAGTTCCTGAAGGACACAGGCAGCCCACCCTCCTCACTGCAACTGAACCAGACACACACAAAGGCCTCAGGTCTGTCCACAGGCCATACTGGCAAAACGTACGCACATGGCGAGGACAGAGCAAAGCATGCATCCAAACAGAGCCCGGTCCACATGTCACAAAGGCAGAGCCTCAAGCGCAAGCGTCCTCTTGATTCAGCAGTCACTTCTCCCATGAGCAGCTTTGAGTTGAGCTAGGTAGCAGCAGAAAATTTGTTAGGGCAAGAAAGCCACCTAATTCTTAAGGCACACCACCAAAAATTCAATGGTGAGCAGAGGTGCAGAAACAGGCACAACTAGAGTGGCACGTGTAAAAGTCCTTCAAGACTAACAATAAAAGTCCTCTAATGTCTCCAATGTTTTGGTTTTATTGGTCTTGTTCTTTACTATTTTGTTCAATTTTATTATAACTGATGATATAGGCAATTCTTTTTAAGATAGCAAGAGGCATTATGATTACCATTGTTGATCACCTTGTATTTTGTTTTTACATTATGTATTATGTCCATCCTTTTGATTTGACTGACTGTGCCCTATTATGTCACATTTGGTTTTACTTTCTTCAAAAAAAAGTAATAGGACCAGTGGGAGTAATAAAACCCAAAATGTGTAAAAGAGAGGAAAAGAAAGTACTCTAAAGGACATAACTGCATGTATATTTAAGTGTGTAAGATACGTAACCATATTACCGAGTTTTATTGGATCATTGAACAGAACTGTTCTGCAGCCTCACTGTTTGAATGTCCACTCTATATGCTTTAATTTTGTAACTTGAACAACTATTTCTAAGATCACAATATGTAATCTATTAACTAGTGATTTCCTACTGTTTATTTTTTCTGAAATTCTGTATAACTTGTACCCTTTTTGTTTTTCTTTTTTCTCCTTAAATTAAAAAAAAAAGACCAACAATAAGAGTCAACGGCACACCCAGAAGCTCAAAGGCAAATGGGGTGACTCCAGTAATCAAAGTTCCAAAAAGACCCCAAGGTCAAAAGCGGCACCCAGCACACATAGGAGGCACCATATGAGTGGCAAAGGATTGAGGAAGGTTGCTCCATGACCTAGACGAGGCCTGTGCACAAGGTCAGCCTCCCTGGAGTTCTGCAGGGAGATGGACAGTGACAGTCAGCAAACAGTCTCAGCCTATGGCCAAATGCATGCCTGTGAAGTCACTGGGTCTGCACAGCTGAGAAAGTCATCCTCAACCTGAGGGTGAAACTAAGGAGCTTGTCCTCCCACGGCCCCCACTCACACTGCTGAACTGAAACCTGCACATGGCGGGCCTGACCGTCAAACACCAGCTCGCTACCTGGTCCTCTCACTTGGGAAGGGAAGCAGACAAAGCATGAGGAAGCTCTGGCTCCATATATATGTGAAGCAACAGGGGTGCATAGGGACTATTAAAAAGTACTCTATCAAAACTCTGCATGTCTCAGGTCTTCTTACAGCTCCCTACTGAAAGCTGGGCCTGTCATACAACTTGATCACCCCTTAAGCCACACTGCACTACACCCTGGGCCCAGTGTTAGCCCTTCTCCTCTGCCTAAAAGTTATTTAGTAATTCAGTAATTTAGCGACACAGTCTCTGTGAGAGGGACAGTCTGTTTCTCCAATAAACATAATCAACTTTGAGGAAATTTTAAGAAATTTTTTTTTTAAAAAGCATTAGTTTTTTAAAAAAAGCCTACAAGTGAATATAGCTGTATGTCAGTCAAGGTAATCAGTGTTAAAGGATGTTAGACACAATACAGAGTTCTAACAGTGTTATTTCATATTTTTGGAAATCAAGAAAAGTGGTCTAATGGGTCAAAAGAGGTTCAAACTAATTTTATAAAATCTTAACAGTAATCAACAAAAAACTTTACAAGAAAGGAAGGGAGCTTGGCAGGACAAGGATTAGCATACTGAGCTATTTATTTGGTTTCATCTTTCTGGGAGGACAGTTAATTTTTTAAATGACAAGACAGCTGTAAACATACTGCTTTACTAAAAGTGATGAACAGAATCAAGAAAATAATCTTAAATTTGAAGCAGTTAAAAGGAATTATCTCTAGAGAAGTGGGAATAAGGAAAAGAAAAACCCGTGTTTTGTTTTTAACTTCCAGAATAAACTTTACTAACATGTGCATGTAGGCTGAATTATTAATGCTTAATATAATAAAAACATAACTTTAACATGTCAGCTAAGCATGGTCTGAAAAATAATATTGCTATAATATGTGAAGAAAAGACTGGATGGAGTATGTTACGGAACAAGCAAGTACTAAGATCAACAACTTTTTTCACTTTTCTAATGATACCAGGCAGACTTGGGTCTGTGCTGATAAGATGGAATACACACAGCCAGTCAACCCCATTCTGCCCCACCCTCTTCTCGGGAAACAGCTTCCTCTGAGACAGCAGAAAACATGGACTGCCTCAGGATGCCCAGTGCTCTAGGGCACTTGCAGAAACATGTTTGTATGTCCTAGTGCCCAACTATGCTGGGGGAACTCAATGGCTCTAAATGTGGGACACCCAGGCGTGGTACACACACCTGCAACACCAGTACTCCGGAGACTGAGGCCAGAAGCTGCTGCAAGTTGAGACCAGCCTGGGCTACGAGGTGAGCTCAAGGCTAGTCTGCATGCACTGCAGAGTGGGACCCTGTCTCAAAAAGACCAAAAGGGGTGGTGGTAGTAAGAAACGGCTTCCCTTCTTCCCAATTCACATTTCCAAACCCAACCTCTCTGCTTTATATTCTTTTAAAAAATAAATAAATAAAGCTATTGAGATCCCTTCAGCCACCAGTGTAGCACCACGGGTCACTCCCAGCTCACAGCAAAGTACCAGGCCCAGCTGGAGGTGAGCTCACAGGCACTGAATCAGAATTCACCTGGGACTGAGGATTATTTCAGGTACCTGCTGAATGCCTGGAAGACCACTCTTAGCCAGTCAGTGGCACTACAGCTCATGCAGTTCCTGGGCCACCCCGGCCACTTCCTGAGTGTGCCAGGGCCTGGACTCTCACACCCCCACCCCCTTCAACCACTTCTGTCCCACCTCTTTGAGAGCCTCCTCCCTCCCCCCCCCCCAACCCCGGAAGAACTGAGCCCTGGGAGACCCTGCAAGACCCTGCTTACAGCCTCCGGAGAATTATCCACTGCTCTGCTCCTCTTTGCTTCATGATCCTTGCATGCTGTCTGCACGCATGTTCATGACAGCTGAGCCCCTGCATCTCAGGACTCAGGGGACCTTCCTGTCAGCAAGCAGCGACTAGGGGTGTGAGATGGGTGTGAAGGCGCTCTTGCCAGTGCTCAAGTTGCACTGACTCCTCTGTCTTGAGCTTCCAACACAAGTGAATATATAAATACATGTGCTAAGGTCACAGAGCAGTAAAGGCTCTGAAAAAAGAGCATCACTACATAGGAAGTGACAGGGGAGTCAGGAGAGAAAAGAAGAACGAGCACCTAGTGGGCAAGCACTGCTCCCACCACTCCTAATAGTGTGCCTCACACCACAGCTCTGCAAACCAGGTGTCACGATTGAGAAGAGAAGGTGAGGCCAGAGTGGTGAGAAGGACATACAGCAGTGACTGCAGAGCTGGGCCACTCCCACCATCAGCCAGCAGGCAAACCTGGGTGGCATGGCTGCCCTGTCCTCCTCAGGGCCACAACAATGGCAGCTCTGTTAGAAGTCCCGGGAATGACTGTAGTGTCCTGAATCCACGGCACCAAGAGGCAGTGTCCCAGAGGGCCTGCTATCTGGCTATTTACTGCTGCCCCTAACTCAGAGGCATAAAGCAAAGGCAGTGTTTTCTGCGCTTCTCGATCTCCACAAGGGCCAGGCATGGCAAGGACAATCACTGCTTTCCCACTAGGAGCTCAGGTGAGTAGAAGGCTCTGGGGGCTGACAGCTGATGCTGGCCGGCGGGTGGGACCTCAGCTCGTGCTGTGGCCAGACATCTTCATGTGGGTTCCCTGATGGCCTCATGGCTGCTCACAACATGGAGTTAAGGTCCTGTCATGGTTTATGTCTGTGGCCCTCAGGCCTCATGAGTTTGCATTGTTTATTTGCGATTGGTTCATTGTCTAGTGCTTGGATTGATGGTGTCAGTGCTCCACCCACATAGGGGTGGAGCCAGGATGTGATGTAATGGCAGGAAGAAGCTGTGTCTTGCTCTTTGCTGGTTCCTGTTTGCTGTTTTGCAGCCGCCAAGAACTGTGGCCCAGCCATGCCCGCCTGTCTTGGAGCGAACTGGGTGTGGACTGAAACTTCCAAAAACTGTAAGAAATAAACCTTTCCTTTCCCAACTTGGGCTTCAGGTATTTTGTCTCAGCAACGAGTAAAAAGTAACTAAGACAAGTCCCAAAGGTGAACATCAGAAGGTCAGACTCACAGACAAGGAACTAGAAACAAGTGGAAGACCACACTGGGGAGAAGCAGAACCCCCGGCGTTGGATGTCCCGCAGCACTCATCTCTCCCACAGCACTGTACTCACCTGTAGTCACAGAGTATGGCCCGCCTTCTAAGGGAGCAAATTCCACTCAACCTTTACTGTGGACAGGTGTATGCCCAGTTCCCCAGCTCTCCCACAGCTTCTATGACTGATGTTTTAAAATAAATTCCCCTTAACTGTATTTTATGGATGGGGGTTTGTAAAATGGAAGTAAGTTTATTTCTATCTGATATAGATCCACTAATAGTATGAAGTTCTACACTTAAACCAAAATTAAAGTAGGAGATATACAAGTCTGGACCAAACTACAGTGACATTAGTAATAGCCACATGTCAGCTACCACAAGAAAGAAAAAACTTCCTTTACGCCTCCTGAGGAGGTGACCTATACTATCCAAACTTTAAGTAACAATAACTTTTTGCATTAAGTTTCTCAGTTTTGGTTTTCTTTTTGTTGTTGTTGTTGTTTTAAAGATTTTTACGTTCTTTATTTTAAAAATGAAAGGGAAGAAAAGTGCTCTAAAAGATATAACTATATGGAGGTTTAAGTGTATTACTAAGTTTCCATTAGATCACTGAAAGGAATGGTTTTGCACTGTCAATGTTTGAGAGTCTACTTTTTATGCTTTGATTTTGTAACTTGAACAAATATTTCTAAGAGCACAATATGTAACTTATCAACTAGCAATTTAATGTTAATTTTTCTTTGAAATTCTGTATTACTTCTCCCCTTTTTCTTGTCTTGTTTTTTTGTCTTGTTTTTCTTTAAATTAAAAAAAAGGAATTTTACGTCCTAAGCAAAACCAGAATTCATTTAAAACCTTTTAAGCAATGGCCAGATCCAACCATTTTCTACAAATACAAAGCACAAACTCCCTCAAATTATTCCTAAAAACAAATGAGTACTTTATTTCAGCTGAGTGCTCACTTCAGCCACACATATACTATTTCACTTGAATCAGCAATTTGAATCATTGTTATAATACGCAATCTTCACCTTTTCTATTTGCCTGTTGAAGAACACAAGCTTCCTTTTTAAAGCAGTGATTACTTCCACACTTTCCAGAATCATTAACACTGATAAGCTTATTGCATCTTATCAGAACCAACACTAAATTATTTATGAAAGCCTCAGGAATCCCTTTACCGGGGAAAATATATTACACAAAATAAAAGAGCACCACAACCAACAGGTTCCCACTTTTTTCAACAAATATGAAAATCTTCTATGTTCCAGGCATTATTATAAAACCTATTCCCTTCTAACGCTCCTGTGTAACATGATATTATGAACAAATTAAGACAAATACAAATTGGAAAACATCAGCAGAAAGTGACAAAGCATGACTTTGCAGGAGCAGGGCCTAGTCAAGGGGTAGCTGAGCATTAATCCCCATATGAAATGCATACCAACCAAAAACAAAGAGGAAGAGGAGAGAGGAGCAGAAGGAGGGGAAGGTTAAAGGGAGGAGGAGAAGGCAGAGAGGACCTTACTCCTGGATTTGCATTCTGCACAGAGTCTTCCTAGCAGTGTGTGTGACCTGGGAAAGATAACTAACCTCTGGCCATACTCATCAGGGTACCTATCTCAGACTTACCATCAAAGGGCAACTTATGCACATAAATAACTCAAAATAGCTACTGTGATATAGTAAGGATTCAATGAGGAACTACTTGTACACAAAGCACAAAAAACTTGCAATGATACTTTCTGTATGTTAGGGTCACTGGTGGCCCCCCTTTTTGAAAACAGAAGTTCTATCAGAATTTGAATTATTGTTTCATGAAAAATTCTAAATGAGATTGTGGTTACTATAATGAATTTTAAAATAAGACATGTAAAATGGGAAGTTATGGTATGTAAATGTATCAAGCAATTATTATATGCATACATAACTCATTAAAAAGGTAGTGAATGAGTAAGAAAACCTCCTTGACCTCAAACAGGAAAAAAAATTTGCAAATACAGTGTGCTTTGTTTAACAGACAGGGAAACAGGCATTTCTGATATCTAATAATAAATCTAAGTCCAACATTTTACTATAATCACATAGAAATGAATGTTATAGAAGCAATTCAAGTGCATCAGTATAAAACGCAAAACTAACTTTTTAGCTAACTTGGTTCTCAAGAAGTCATTCATTTCAGTCATACTTGGATTCCAATTATATATCTTCCCTGTTCTTACAGATTCTTTATGAATAAATTCAAAATCCAGATCATAGGTCATAAAGTAGTGTCAAATGGAAAAACCACAATTTCAATGCCTAATGAATAAAACAACCTCTAAAGATAAATTCTATTTTTAAATTTATCTTCACTGACTCATAAAAACATTGTAAGATATGTGTTTACTGGGTAAAACAAATTTTAAATTATGTAAATGACAGGATTTATGTAAATCTGGTAGAGGCAAGCCAAATACAATTTGTGACAATTAATTTGAGAAGGCGTAAGTTTCTCAAATTAATGAGAAATTTAAGAAAATGCAAGATCCAAACTTACATATATAATATGTTAACAATAGGCAGGGGAGAAAAATAAACAGTAGTAGAAATAAAGCTCCTTTACTAGGCATATGCTGCTATGCACTGGGCACCAACATATTATTAGCCACTACCATTACTCTCATTATCATTTGTCCTACAAAGAAAATGAGAATTCAAGATCCTATTTTTTGCTCTCACCTTTAATTTAAAGTCTTTTGTTATGATTCAGGTCTAGAATGCCCCGAACAGGTCTCAAGCACTCAGAGGTGGTGCTTTTAGAAAGCCACTGGGTCATGGGGTCACCACAGCTAACTTGCAGTGAGGGACAGGGCCTGGCTGAAGCGCACTCAGACCCTGGGGCGTGACTAGAAGACTCTGTCTCCTTGCCTGGCTTCTTCCTTCTCTCTGCTCCCTGGCCTCCATGACTTGCAGTTTTTCCACTTGAGTCTGCAAACTCTAGACAGAAACTTCTGACAATTTGAGTTAAATGAACCTCTCCTCCTTTATGTTATGGATATCGGGTATTTTGTCCCAAAGACAAGAAACTGCCTAACACATCTTTACATCATACCTCAAATTCTATTTCTTCTCTTCTCCAACTCCTATTATGTGTCTAAGAAAAGTATGACCGGGGCCAGGGCTTTATTTAGCTCAGCGGTATAAGCGCCTGCCTGGCAAGCATGAGGTCATGAGTTCTGTCCCTGGTACCAAAAACTATGACCTCTTAATTCCTCTACTTAACACTGAAATTCAGTTCGTAACACCACCCCCTTTCCCCAAGGATCTGATCTGAACTAATACCCTTTTACTCCAGTTAACAACTATAAAGTCAGATGTGAGCTTATTTATCTTCATTTTTACTGCAGAGAACGCAGTCAATACATACTCAACTTGCTCATAACCACCAGGAAGTTTAAGCCCCACAAGTGTCTACTAGACATCTATACTGTCTTTTTGTTGCTTCATTTTGTTCTCTAGGATTCTTTAAGAAGTGATAATAGAAGTAACAGCAACACAAATTCTCACTCCTATTCTTAACATTTCCCTTACTGGACTGGGGATTTAGCTCCATGGCATAAGTGCTTGCTTAGCAAACATGAGGTCGTGAGTTCAATCCCTGGTACCCACACCCTCCCCCCGCCAAAAAAACATTTCCCTTACTGTCTTTTCAGTTTAGCTGGGTATAAAATTCTTGGCTCTCTCATTTCCCTTGGCATATCAGATGTTACTCAAATGCTTCTGGCATGAAGTCCTACTATCAAAATCAGATTGTAATGTTGTGTTCTACTTAGTAAAAATTTTTGGCTCTTTTGTCTATATTTAAAATCTAGTAATTTTTAATAGAATGTGTCTACATGTTAGTCACTTTTAGATTATTTCATCTATTTACACATTGTGCCTATTCCAAACAATGGTACATCTTTTTAATTTCAGGAAATTTTTTTGAATTATAATTGCTGATATGGTAAGTCTTGCTGCTTTTTATTCTTCAGAGACTCACTTTATAATGAAGCTTGTCTTTAATAACTGTCACTCTTCCTTGGAATGCTTCATTTTTCTTTCCTATTAAAACTTTTTTCTTCATCTATTTCTCTTAAGAAATATTTTATTGCAGCCTCTAATTTGTTTCATTTTTAAATAATTTCTTTCATTTCTCATTCCCAAGTTAACACTTTCCCGTCTTCTTTATTCAGTTTTATGTTGCTCTTTCATATTTGTGTAATTCTCTGACGTTCTTTTGGTTTGTTGTGAAACATTACAGTTTTGTGGGCATTTCTTTATTGTCACGCTTTCACAATCTAAAATAATATCCTTCTCTCCTTACTCCTCTTTATTCCTATTTAAATTTAAAAAACAACAAAATCTTGTAGGGCACTCAACTGTGATCCTTGCCTATTGTTCATTTTAATATAAAGAGTTAGAAGAAAGTGTAGTAGCCTTTCAGCAGTAAGTGACCTCTTTTGTTTTCATGACCTGAATTTGTTTCTTCCCCCACTTGCACCTCATCTTTTTTCCTTTAGACTCACCACCTCTACCTTCTTTAATTTGGATTCCATTCCCAGCAGTGTCTCTCAGTGCAGGGAGTCGGCCAGCAAAGCATCTTCAATGTGACTTTCCAGAATTCACTGAGACTAGCACTAATTCTTGGAACCTAAATGTGCAATGTGGGGATCTGTAAATCCCTTTTCCGCTCCCGGTTCTCAAACTTCCCTACCACACTCTCCAGGAAGCCCTACTTGGCTGGCTTAGGGATGTACTTTCTGGCCCATCACATACTATATGTTGCTTTCTTCTGCAACAGTGCTGATACCACAAAGGCCTTACAATCATGAGGTATTTGCTACTACTCATTTGTATTTGCCTTTATGAGGACCTGTTCACCTAGTCTCATTTTTTAGGGGGGGAGGGGGTAACTGCAGATCCTTGCGCTTGCCAGGCAGGCGCTTATGCCACTAAGCTAATTCCCCAATTCATGGTCTCCTAGTCTTACACAGCTGGGTCCATGAGTTTTTGGGTTTACCAACTTCGTTGCTCTACTTTTAGGGGAAACAGAGGCAACCTAAAAAAAAAAAAAACTGGGGCTGGGGATTTAGCTCAGCAGCATAAGCGCCTGCCTTCCAAGCAGGCAGTCTTGAGTTCAATCCCTGGTACCGATAAAAAGGAAAAAGACAAATAAATAAATAAATAAATAAATAAATAAGTAACTGCCCTAATTTTCTTAAAACATTCAAGATATACTTCAGTATTCCTAAAATCTAAGCCAATGAAGATAAATCAAGGTGCTTCCACCTGGGTCTTGATTAAGCACTAATGATTAAGAAAATCAAGGTTATCGTGTGGCAATCTTCAGGTTCCTTATCTTTCCTAAAAAAACCCAAGCATACATAATACATGTAAGAATGACATAATCATTAAATGCTTCTGCTTAGAAATTTGAAACTTTAAATAAAAACATGAAACACAGAAACGGGATCCCAGCACTCAGGAGGTGAGGTAGGAGGATTGGCATGACTTCAAGGCCAGCCTGGGTTACATAGTGAATTTAAGGCTCACGTGGACTATACAGCAAGACTTTATCTCAAAAAACAGCAAGGAAGGGCCAGGGATTTGGCTCAGTGGCATAAGCACCTGCTTGGCAAATGCAAGGTTTGGAGTTTGATCCCTGGTACCAAAACAAAACAAAACAAAACTGTAAGAAAGGAAGGAAGGAAGGAAGGAAAGAATAATGAATACTGAAGTCCACTTAAAGAAATTTACGTGACACCTGTAATCAAACATGCAAATGCCATAAGAACATTAAGTAAGAATCACTTGCTAGGGGGAAAAATCCTAAGACAGTATCTTCTAAGCTGCAAGAGAAATAGAGTGGTTGTTTCTCTGTAATTTAGGAGTTATCTAATGATTCTGAAACTGTCCTCCACTATCACTTGTCTTTTTTTCAAAAGAGAAGATTCTTTTTACCTACTGAATTTTATTTTAAAAGACAATAATCAATGCTAACAAAAACATGAGATACATCCTATAATGTAGTGAGTAAAAACTGGTACATAATGAAGAGCCTTAAAATTTTCAAGAAGGCATACCTTCTGTATGAAGAGCCTTGAAAATTTTTATGACTCAAGTTATACTCCTAGGAGTGAATTAAAAGAAACCTATTTTTATATAGCAACAAGACATTTATACAGATATTTGTACTTTTACAAATGCAAAGAAAAAAATTGATGTCTAAGAATTAGAGATAGCTAGCTTATCTAGGCAATGACCACATAATAAAAAGGCTCAAATTAGTACACTTTAAAATATATGCCTAAACTGGGCATGCTGGCACACACCTGTAATCCCAGCACTTTGAAGACTGAGACAAAAAATCACTGTAAGTTTGAGACCAACCTCAGCTACAAAGTGAGTTCAAGGACAGCCTAAACTGCATAGGGAGACCCTGTCTCAGATCCCTATCCCTGGGCAGTGGGGAAGCAGGATGAAGAGAGATCCAGGGTCTAATGTAAGTTGTTCTCAGAAACCATTAATAGTTGTGAATGCTTTGGATCTGCTCCAAGTTCAAAGTGGCAAAAGGTCACAACTTACATAGGGAAATGTTTAGAATACAATGCTAGTCAATAAGTGTATCCAACAGACCTACCCAACTTCACCATCCTGATGACCTCAACTAACTGAAACAGGCACAGGATGGTGGAGGGAGACTCCCCCAACTCTGGAACACTGGCTAAGTTTCATGGGACTTACCTATATGTCTACGAATTTCCAAGTATTTCAATGATTATATATTACTTAACAAACAAGGAAAGAATTAAAAACCTGAGAGCAAATATAAATCTATTGGACTTGTCATTTACTGAGAACAAAAACTCACTGACTCAATAATGAAAACAATAAGGAAAGCTCGAAATGCAATAACACATTTGGAAAAAGGCCAGACACACAAGAGCACATGAAGAATTGCAAAAGAAGGCAAACAGTCAACAGGCACCAATATACATTTATACACATCTTGATTCTTCCAATGTACCCCACATGTGATGGGGCTGAAGAAATCAGATCTCTTCCATTTACAAATCTGATTTCTAACTTCTGTAATGAAAAATGCAGTTTCTGTGATCACTGGAATCTAAAAGTTCTGTAATGGATATGCTTCATTTACGTTATCATTTAAAATAGGAAACTTTTGCCCTACATAATTCATTTTACAATGAATTAATCTAAATATCAATGAACATAAATGATGTGAAGCCCATTTTGAAATAAATTTCTAAGCTCACTTATCCTGGAGTTACAGTTGCTCTAGACCAGTGATGTGAACTTTTTAGAGCTGAGCACCCAAACTGCAACATGAAACCCACTCGTTTATTGCAACATGCCAACACTGCGATTAATCCTGAGTGTTGAGGCTTTAGTTTAGAAAACAGTAACTCATACATGGACATCTTTCATCTTAAAAGAAAATAACACACATGCCATAGGTTCGCCACAACTGCTCTAAACTACTTCAAGTTTTAAAATGACTAGTATGTCACCATAGGTGAAAAGTCCATTTCACCAAAATAAAGAATAGTATCAACTACTACAGCCAATAGATTTTCCCAACTAATGTTCCATGGGATATTAATGGCACAGATCAAAAACAAAAGGAAGTGCCTTAAATAAATGCAGCAGGCTTCTTTACAGAGGAGTTTCAGTGCTTAGGAGTATACAATCCCTGAGGCAGCGCCTTCTCCAAATCTCATCTCCAGAGGGACTCTACACTTGAGACGAACTGAACCCACTCACTCCTAGGTTCCCAGGGAGACAGTGTGCGCATGAAGGAGAGTGCTGTGTCACTCCTGATCAAGAAGAGTAAAGTAGAAGGCAGGAGTCTACATGGGGAAGACAACCAGGATTCAGTTACTTACGTTTGGAGCTCAACAAAGAAATGGGACACAGTCTTAAAAAGAACAGGCCTACACATAGCAGCTGAAACTATTTCTGAGAACCCAAAAAGTTTTACTCCACATGCCATGAATTTCACATCTTTACAGTTTATCAAAAACATCCACTGAATGTTCCCCCTGACGAACCTTGATCCCTAAAAGCAGGGATCCTTGTAGGCACAGCACCCATTACAATACTATACTTGAAATAAAAGGAAATGCTAGCCAAGTAAATGTTTGCTTCCAAGTCACTCTTCCTTAAAAATCAAAACCCAAATTTACTTCATCCATGTTCCAACTACGTTTTGAAATATGCAAAGAAAAAACCCCACAAGTTTTAACAAGTACAAGAAGACTTATTCATGCATGTAAAGAATACACCAAATGGTATCTCTGCCTTAGTGTTTGGTAAGTCTTCTCCAGTTTTACCAAAGCATAATCAGGAAATAGACATTTTGCATATTAAAGATATACATGATATGTTCGTATAAGGAGATGATTAAGCTAATTAATGTATCGCCTCCCATAGTTAACACAGAAACTTATTAAGCTTTGACTGTGGAAGGTCCTAAGCCAATGCTTATTTCAATATCCTTTCCAGCATCCTTGAAAGGACATTTCCACTGAAATGGTAGAAAAAACTAACCAACATGACAAAAGCCAGTTCCATCAACCATGGCTGCAGGGAAAACAAAGCCTAAAGCAAACAAAGTACCTACTTTCAAGTATGTGTAAATGTTCTAGAAAACCCTTAGAAAATTTTCTTATGAGCTTTTATATATTAAAATCCTATCACCTCAAGTATAATAAATGTGCACAAAGTAATCTAACAGCAAAGTGCCATACTAATTAATGATTATAAAAGCTGTTAATTTTATATTCAAAAACAATTTCAACCTGTTACAAAAGGGAAATACACCAACAGCCAATAAATGTATTAGAGTAAATTGGATCTTGTGTCCTGCGTTATTTTTTCCTTTGCAAGGCAATAAAATGTTGGTAACTTTTATAACACCTAATAAGAGACTGGATTATATCACAAATTAAACCACAGAATTTCTGTTTTAGCATTCATAAAACTGAAGTAGACAGGTTTTACAAACTGTATTTTTTTTTTTAATTCTGTTACAAGTCTTTCAAGAAAAATAGCTACGTGGGGGTCTCTCATACCTTATGAATATAAAAAAGCAATTTTGCCACCTCAAAATCTCATAAGAGAAAAATTCCAAAGCCAGTAATAGTCACAAACAAAGTTTTGAGGCACTAAAATAATACTTTGTTCCTCTACTGGCTTCCATTCAAAGTGCACATCCACTTGGTACAGCCAAGGTGCACTACAAGGCCCAAGGAGCACTCTGGAAACGGACACTGCAGAGGAACTGCTCGCGTATCAAATAGTCAGACTTGACATTCAACAGTTTAAAATGTTCAGAAATTTCTTTCACAAGTTTCTCTATAAACACCTGTTTCCTTTTGTATGACAGTGACACTCAGCATCATACTGATTTTAATAATCAGCCACCAGCCAGACTGTGCTCCCAGCGTATCTAAAATGTCCACCTGCGCACCTGGGGCTGTGAGAGATGTGCTACAGAGACAGACAGACCTGCCGCCACTGTGACTTCCAAACATACCCTCAGCCTTACAAATGCCAAGTCCCTCACAGACATACCACCTAGTCTACAATTTAATCTAGCAATACTATTTGCAAGCAACCTCTTCAAACAAAATGGAGTATCTGAAGTATTACATTTTAAAATACCACTGTATAGTAAAATATATTTTTCTTTTAGAAAGTCCCAACCAATGAAAAACAAATCACAAAACAGCTACACCAATAATGATACCTAGTCAAGATTTATATGTTCGAAACTTAGTAATACTTCACATATTAGCTACAATGCATTTTCCACTGTTTGAAGATGGCCATGTTTACGGCAGTCTCCACGGTGCCATACACAAGTAAGATTCCTTCAGTGAGTCACAAAGCAATCAAAAACACTCTTTCAAAAATCCCTTTATGTTGCTTCTCTGTATAAACGCAAATGACACAGATGACAGGGAAGGTAAGAGAGAAACAGATATAGGAAAGGAGTAAAGAAAAAACAAATCACAGGTCACATTTTTTTAAGCAATTATACATATGACGAGTATTATACCCATAACTGTCACAGTATTATCTAAATTATACTGTAAGAATACACCCATAAAAGATCTGCTGCATTTTAACAGGGACCTAAAGGAGACATATTCAAGTACAAAAATTAGTATTGTGCTTATTTTACTAACAGAAATATTTCAATTATTACCAAAGTATTGGTCAACTTTCTCAAGTTTAAGCACTAAGAATTACTACGCTCATTTGCATTAACACCACTGCAATGGTGTACTGAGTCCAAAAATCAAGCTCAATAAATCTCACAACTATTTACTGGTTCATGTAACTTCCCCAACTACTGTTTCTCAGAAATCTCCCCATTCAAAATATCCCATCAATCCCCACATTGTCTTAGCCATACTTTACTGTATTTCAAAACTTGAGTCACCTGTATGCATCGTCTTCTTTCAAGTCTCATATCATCCTGATGGGGTGGGGGGAGGGAGGGAAGAGTCCAGCAGCAAAACTATCACACTGTGTGAAGAAAAACAGATTATGATAAGCGATAATGATTAAGACAATTACCCCTAGTTGAGGAATATCTAATGTAACTACAATCCCCAAACACATAGACAAAATTACTTCAATTTGTAAAATTAGGTTACTAAAATTTACGCTTACTTGAGGAATTTTCGTTAGGTTTCATTAATCAAAATCAACTATATAAAAAGAACTGTCAGGGGAAACAAAGTTTTAAAATGTGCCTACTACCAATGAAAATGTGGTGTTTTTAGTTATCAAATAAATTGGAATGTCCCACTATACAATTTATGGGAGAGGTCTCATTTTGTAATTTTCATCTACACAAATCACTAAGAATATGAATTCACTTTCATAGCCACTGTCAAAGCAGAGATAATAAAAATTACTTCGCACAAAAACATTTCGATCTATTAACATGATTTTGCATTAAATTTAGAGTCACTTCCCACAACTGCTCCCCTAACCCTGCAAGTCCTCGCTGGCTCCCCAACTGTCTTCTCTGTTTGATAGTGGTTCTCCTACAGTGCCCCCTCCCTGCTACTGCTCCCACAGAGCAGCAGCTCTGACCAGCACATTCCATGTCTGGAAAGAAGTGAACACAACCACCAACTCAGAATACAGAAAGGAAGGAAGAGAAGTACAATATTAAAAAATAGTAACTTATGATATCAGTGAAAATTTTTATTCTTAAACTGATACTATAAAATGCAATGAGTATTCAGAATGAAACAATGTCGCTGTGTTGGTCAAATTCCCAGGCTAGCAAAAAGAAACCTACTGATCCCTGGTACTAGTCCTATGAATTGAAACCAGAACCAGTCCAATGCCACAAGTTTAAACAGTGTCCTTTGTACATTTCTCAATGTCTGCAATTCCCTAAATTTTCTGTTATACCAGTTACCCTGCACAATAATCTTTTTTTCTCATTTGTTCAAATTTCTGCAATTACTATCCAAAGCTCTTATTGCCTCCATACAGTTCATTTCTGGTAAATTATAAGAAATCAAGTTGACTGAAATGATTCTCTTCAATACAGGTATTTAAAATTTCCAACAGATATACTAATTAGCCCAAATGAACAACTTCTTAACAGAATTTCCAGGGCTGGGGATTTAGCTCAGTGGCATAAGCACCTGCCTTGCAAGCACACGGTTGTGAGTTTAATCCCTGGTACCAGTAAAAAAAAATAATAATAATAATAGAATTCCAAACAGTACAGGGAAAGAAGAGAAAAAAACCTACTCAGGTGGAGGGGTGGTCCATAATATAAACAAGTATGTTTTTGCCCCCTCATCCAAATATTTGTTTTCCACTTATTTCTCCTTTTACTGTTAAACCCTGGGTTCTTTAACAGCTCCAACTTTATTCTCCAAATAGCTACAACTAGAGATACTTCACAAGATGAGAAATTCAGAGACAGGAGACTAAAGGCGTCACTTGTTTTGACATTAGGAATTGCCTGCATCTGAAATCACTGTCTATGACCCGGATTCAGACCGAAGGGACGATCCAGCTCAGGTGCTGCTGTACCATCAAGCAGTACCGAGTCAGCTGAACACACCTGGGAAGGCATGTGCATACGGCAGTGAATGGCCACAGTAAGCATCCATCAGAATACCTTTACTTCTAAAAGGAATAATCACAAATCTATTCTTGAAAAACAAAATCAACTTTTGCTCCAAAGTCAGTTTTCTCTTTAAAGAACATTTTTAAAATTCTTTAATTCCCTCAAATACAGCCACTCTATTTCTGACATAAGCCATAAGGAAAGAAAATATAAACTTTCTCTTGCTATGACTGACTGACTGATTTATATCAGTGTCACCTATAAACCATTACAATATTTTGCCAACTTGAATGGTATCAACAGAAATAGATCGTATTAATAATGTTACTAAAGTACAATACACATAATACAGATGCCCTAATTCAAATTATGTAACTAACTTGTTTGCTGTACTTTATCTTCTTTCAGTGAATGATTTCACTGACATTCATAATGACTTGCACAGAATTTTAAAGACCTTCAACTCTATCAATTTATATTCTTGTATTCTGAGTTCCTCAAACAACACAGCTTCCACCACTAGACAGTAAGATGCTATATAAAGCAGATATGTGGACTGAGAAATTTCTCCATCTGCAGACCCAAGTCACGCAGGCTCATTTCAAGACCAGCTCGCATTGCAGTATGACACCCACATTCCAAATCTCAATGAACCAGGATTGCACATCCCAGTTATTTCTCAAGGTACTTAACATTTTATTAGAACCAACCCAAAAATGGTCACCTGAGATAATACACAGTTCTCAGCTGAAGAAATACAAATGGCAAATAGATACATGAAAAAATGTCCAGCATCCTTGATCATTCAAGAAACGCAAAATAAAAACACACTGACAGCTGGAGATTTACCTCAGCGTCATAAATGCCTGCCTGGCAATCACATGCTTGTGAGCTCGATCCCCAGTACAAAATAAATAAATACATAAAATAAAACAAACTCATGTGTAAATACCATATTATCTCCCTGGTATATGAAACTGAGAGAATAAATTAGACAGAAGATGTTCAATAAACATTGTGAAAGGGTAAGAAACTGCTCAAAGGGGGAAAAATAAGAAAAAGAAAAAAGAAAGGAGGGAAAAAGATATAAATTTGTATATATACACTTAAAACAACTCAAATGATTGTACTACTAATTCTAGTCTTGAAACAAAACAGCTGTCATAGGATTAGATCAATTTTTTATGTTTATATCTGATAAGCTGAGTAACTGTTTTGAAGATAACTATACAAAATAACCACCTTAGTTAGGTTCTACCACCTTGTTTTGAAAGTCTATATTGTTGTTTTGGACTCTTTGTTACTGTTATTTGTCTTTTTTGTTTGTTATTCCCTCTAATACAGAAAGGATAGAGGTACATGTGTAGGCTTATCCATGATTAAATCTTCAACTAAAGAGTTTACAAGAAATGATTTTATTACATGTGACAGTATCATCAGCTATTTAGAAGAAAACGAGACATTATGGTAGCCATTGCTGATTTCCTACCCTCATCTTGTTTTGAAGTCCAATAATGTTTTTATTCCCTTTTTTATTGGTTTTAGTCTGTTTTCTATTATATGATTTCAATGTGTTCAAGGTAGGGACAGCTATTTTGAAGAGAACAAGAGACATTATGGTAGCCACAGCTGATTTTCCTATTGTCTGATCTTGGAGGCCTGTAATGCTTTCATTCTTTTGTTTTGATTGGTTATATACTATTTTGTTTTGTTCAAATTCATTGTGCATGAAGATATGGACAATTATTTGGAAGAAAACAAGAGACATTATAGTAGCCAATGTTGATTTCCTGTTGTCTTGTTTTGAAATCCTGTGTTGCCTGCATTATTTTGTTCTGATCTGCTTTGTCCTGTTTTGTTTTAGTCTTTAAAATTAAAAAAAAAAGAAATTTACTTTAATTCACTTAATCTTCATAACCACATAAAATAGGCACCAGTATCACTCTCATTTTACAGGCAAAGAAATTGAGGTCCCAAGAAGTCAAGTCACCCCCGTGGTCAATTAAAACCTGGTGGTCAATTTAACCACCAGCTGAACTGAATCAGCACCGGTGCAAGCTTGAAAGGCCCACCTGAGGAGAAAGCTGCCAGCATAAAAGGACCTTGAAAGGAAAAGAAGCGTGGGTTCTCCTAAGTGTTGTTTTCTGGAGTTGTTAGCTCCTCTGGAGGAGCCTGCTGAGCTGCTTTCCTGGTATGAACCTGGCTGTTATCATCATCAGGGGAGGTGGGGACCTTGCTGTCACTGAGAGTGGCTGCGGTTCACTTTGGGGAAGCTCTGGTCTGTACTTTGAGCATCGCTTCATGGCTCTGGAGGGAAAGATGTGTGCTGTTCAGTCTCCTGGAGAAGCTCGTCACGCTGGCTTTCTGATATGAACTCAGCTCTTCTCACTTTAGGAGGAGCTCTGGACCTCACTGTTGCTGAGGATGGTCGTGATACTTCAGGGGAGCCCTGGACCTTACTCTGAGCATTACTTCTGGACTCCAGTGCAGAGCCCTCAGCCTGTGGGCACAGACTTTTTAGCCTCCTGCCCCTGACCTTGGGGCCCTTTCGGCGCAGATCCATGTGACAGACTTCCACGAGTCACCGTAATGAGCTCTAGACCTCCAGATGGACTCAGTGGGGAGCACTGTCACGGGCTCTTGGTTTTCAGCGGGGCTCATGCAGAACATCACTGTGGGATCCAGGCCCTGGACTGGGTTTTCTAGGTCTTTAGTGTGTGGACAGATTTTCTGCACTTTCTTTGTATTTGATTCCTTGGGTAACCATTATAAATAATATTATAAATTATGTATCTTGTATGTGATTGTTTTCCTTGCAACCCCTGACTGCAACAACTCCAAAGCCAAATGTGACTGATAATAGAGGAAAATGCAATCTAGCTCCCCAGCCACTGCTCAGTCACTATGTTAAAATTTACCATCTCCCCACTGTTTCCCAATTCAAAATAAATAAATGAGTAAATGGATGAATGAATGAATGACAAAACTCTACTTCTTTTTCCTGGATTCTCACCTTGGCTAACTGAGTCATCATCAGCACAATGTCCCCACCTAAAATGCTAGTCATCTAGGATGCTTTCTTCACCCCTACCCCACTACTACTTACGGATTTCACCTCAGAAAGATCTCCTCATCTTTTGACTTCTACAGTTCTCGTCTTGGTAGAGGCACTTGTTTCATTTGGACCAAATCTCATGTCTTCACTCATAATAGCCCATTCATTTCCGCACTATATATTCTCTTAAAAACAAATCATGCCACCATATCAACCCAATTACATGTCATTCAGAACATTTAAACTTCAAAACAAAAAAAAGATGAAAAAAAACCTTCAAACTTTAATTTTTCCTTCCATTAGTTTCAAGAAACTATATTAGGGCTGGAGATTTAGCTCAGCGGCATAAGTGCCTGCCTTACAAGCAGGCAGTCGTGAGTTTGATCCCTGGGACCAATAAAAAAAAGACAAAAAAAAACCCAAAAAACTATTATTAGAGTTACACTTGCACTGCATTTTAGTAAGTGCAGGCTACTCCACTGCGCAGACATAAATGCATTTCAAGCAAACGTGCATTTGGAGGTAAGTGATTTTGTCCATGAACTGTAAACCTGCATCTGCTAACTGAGATTTAGGGCACCATGGTATGAACAAAGCACAGAGTCATCAAGACTTCCTACATCTCCTCCACTGATGCGCCTGCTTACACATGATACTTGACACCACCTACCTACAATCTGCTCACACTTTCTGTACTGAAATTAAAAGGGGGTCAGGTGACCTGCAGTTGTGGTGGGAAGCAAGCGCATTCAGATCCAGCTTAGCATTGTCTACTGTTATATTCCCCACCCTAACTTGGTCTCCTGGAGTTACCTTAATGCATGCGTGTAGTCCCTAAATAAGCAGGCTCTATCAGATAAAGGACATTTAGGAAAACGGTGTTCAATCAGTAGCCTACAATCCTTTCTCACAATTAGTTTCTAAAATACATGTGGAAAAACTCTCTGCTCATTTTTCTTTTTAATTAATTAATTGCTTGAAACAGGGTTTCATTACACAGTTCAGGTGGGCCTTAAACTCACAGCAGTCCTTCTGCCTCATCTCCGAGTGCTGGGATGACAGGCATGCACCACATAAGGAATCTCTGAACTCTTTTTCTCTCCAAACTGTTCGTCCAGCCCAACCAGGTGCTGGCTCGCTGCCACAATACTACCTGGACTTACTGTGCCTCAAATGCACCCAGTCTAATCTTACTTCTCTACTCCTACTAGCACCGCTCTCAAAGTAACTTCACTATAAACTGCTGGCCTTTTTATCCCCTCTGAATGCTCTTATTGAATCCTATCAACCTGGAAAAATACCTTCTGACTTTCTGTTCTTCTCCATGCCTAATCTACTCTCTTTTGCAGGTCTTTACTTCCCTACAGCTACTTAAAAATGGTCACTCTGCCAGGCCTGATGGTATTTCAGAAACAAAGGTGGAGATTCCCAAACTAGATCCCAAACTGCATTCCAAAAATCCTGACTCAGGCAACATGGACAAAGGACTCAAAAATCTGTTACTGAGACTTTGCAGATATTTGTCAACAGGCAACTCTGGGAGCTACACCTTATCCCTTGTCTAAGTTCTTCCTGCATATAAATGCTACCTCTATCTTACTGAAACACATGGCTTCCCATCTAGATCAAGCTCCTCTACAGTGTTAAGAACATTCAGTCAAATCTCACTGCCTTGAACTCCAAAGTTCAACAGACACCCCATAAAACGCATCTAACCTCCTTATGCATCAAATCCCGAGTCATGTAAGCCCTACCTAAAAGTTGCTCCTTCCGTCCCTAACATCTACCTATCTTCAAGACCACTTAAAATTTTCTCATCCAGTTTAAAACCATTCTACTTTCCCTAATTTGCACTTAATTATCTACCACTATACTCTTGTTAACTATCTCATTTATTCACTGTACTAATATCTACCATTAGATGAGAGGCACTACTAGGTTTCACATTCATGTTATATCACAGATGTTCGCTGAGCAGATAGACATAACGGAGTACAAACGATAAAAAGACTTATTTACGGGCTGGGCATGGCGGCACACACCTGTAGTCCTAGCACTCGGGAAGCTGAGGCAGCAGGGTTACCTTGAGTTCGAGACCAGCCTGGGCTGCACATCAAGACCCTGTCTCAAAAAAATAAAAATAAATAAAAAAGCAAAGACTTATTTATAAAGCAGTATGCAGATATAGAATATGTTTTTTATAAAAGAAAAAGGGCCAGAGACAGCTCAGCAGCATAAGCACCTGCCTGGTAGGTAAGCACTCAGTTAAGACTTAATTCGATCCTTGGAACAAAAAAAAAAAAAAAGAAGAAGAAAGAGGGGAAGAAGAGGAAGAGGAAGAAGAAGAGAAAGTTATAGCTAGGCATGGTGGTGCACACTTGCAATCCTAGCACTCAGGAGGCTGAAGCAGGAGGATCACTGCAAGTTTGAGGCCAGCCTGAACTATATAGTGAGACCCGGTCTCCAAAAAAAAAAAAAAAAAAAAAAGTCATGTACAGAAAAATTATAGTCTATACAAAATATAAATACTAGTTATCTCTGGAAAGAGGAACTACAATTTCTTACCCTTTGTATTTTCTCATTTTTCTACAAATGAACATGTACTCCATGATGACACAGAATCTTAACCCTAAAATCATCGTGACCCTTAAGAACTTTCACCCAGAACTGTCTTGATTAACGAAATTGTGTAGAAGGAACTAGCATGGGATTCATCAGCAGTCAGACTGTTAACATGCAGTGCCAATATCTCTACACCTTTTCTTCAAATTCCACTCTCCTCACAAAAGTAAACATTCAACTTCTGTGCCTTCCTGCATGCACAACCCTGTAACTCAATTACTACACTAGCACGCTATCCCTCTAGCTAGACAGGTGAGTAGATTTTCTGTCTTGGCAGGGAGCTACTGTTTCAGTCAAAACTATAAACTTTAATGAAGTACAGCTGTTTATTGTTTTTCATATTACCAAGAGACACACAGTAGGTAAAGGAATTAGAAATACTACTAAAATAAATCTTAAATCAGGTGTAGTGGCACACATCTATAATCTCAGCACTCAGGAAGAAGGCTGAGGTGGGAGGACTGCTGGGAGTTAGAGAGACCAGCCTGGGCTACAAAGCAAGCTCAAGGCCAGCCAGACCAGCATAGCAGACTCTGTCTCAAAAAGATAAAAAAAATTAAAAAAAAAAAAAAAAAAAGTAAATTGTAGAAATAGCAGCCCAGAAAACTCTTTAAATACCCTCAGAGTCACGTCTGTCCTTAAAAAATTTTTAAAAATGAAATTCTGAGCCAGACAGAGGTAGCTCAGCAGCACAGCATGCCCCTCGTGAGCACAAGATGGTGAATTTGACCCCCACTACCAAAACAAACAAAGAAAAATGAAATTCTAAGTATGGTGACAATTTATATATTTTAAGGAATAACTCAGAATAAATACTCTATTAACTGTAAACTGTTAGTTACAAATTATAGCCTAAATTCCTCCATACCAACTTAAGTTCATGCTGGTTTTTCCCAAACTCTGAAAAATAAAAAAAAAGAACAAAATCTCTATATATAGCCGCCTTAAAAGTATTTTCAAGAGGCACAGACTTATTTCTCAACCTCCTAAACTTAACTTTTAACAAATAGTAAATTTCTCTAACTCAAATCTCATGGTTTTTTATGATCTCCAATAATATACTGTACGAACATGAATGTTGGAAACTGTAACTATTCCTACAGTTTAATTCACTAAAATCTTTAATTCACACTCCAACTATAGTCTGTTTTACCTCATGTCTAATCTCTACTTTTAGGAAAGCTTTTCATGATGGAAAATACAGAACTTATACACAAAAGTCTATCAGAAATAAAAATATTCAACAAAAAGTTTTGATATAGATGCATACCCAACATGAAAAACTACTGTGAAATAAATCACTTAGATTATTGTAAGCACAGTACATAAGTGGTGAAGTCATACACCGGAGAAAGGGGCTCAACACCAGTTTCTTAATTTTTTTGATGTGTCAAGATTACTCAGGTCACCGTACATCAAATTGTTGCAAATCTCCAAAAAACAAAACCCACAGATAAATAGACCTGCACAGTTCAAACCTGTGTTGTTCAAAGACCAAGCACAGTGCGATAGTTTGTATCATTCTTACCTCTGCTTTGCCCTTAGTTCGGGCTTTCTCCAAGGGGCAGAGCCACAATGGACAGCATCTCACTCTCCACACCACTGTTCTGCTCAGAGTACTCCGAGAGTCTTCCTTCTCCGCACCTCTGCCTGCCAAGGCCACACTTGAGCCCAACAACACCAATGCTTCCTAGCACATACCCCTGATACACAACTGCCTAACCTTCTGCCACAGCAGTGCCCGCATCACAACCACCCCTAGGCCCCAGGTCAAGCCCTGATCACCTCGTCCACTGGAAGCCTAGCTTCCACAGCCACAACTGATTCCCAGTAAAGGTCAGAAAGAAAATCATAATCGCCCAACCAACTCACCTGCTAAGATATCTAACCTGGGTTACGTTGTTGAAGCAAGTAAGGTAAGATTTTTAAATGTTTTTAAATGGCTCGGTGCCACAGCACAAGGACTACTAATGTTGTCACATAAAAGAACAGTTACATATTGTAAGCTTGATCCCTGGTACCAAAAAAAAAAAAAATTACCCAATTATCTACTCTCTATAAACTAAATCCAGATAAAGCTTGGAAATTTTTTTCCTTTTAAATAGCAAGTATTGGGCCAAGGATTTAGCTCAGTGGCACAAGCACCTGCCTGGCAAGCACAATCTCCAGTACCTAAATAAATAAATAGCAAGTATCTTTTAAAGAGTATGTAGTATTACTAATTTTAAAATATTAGAAAAATCAAACAAATAAACTACTGGCAACTACTAAAGCTGGAGAGAGGAATATGAGAGTTCATTGTATTACTCTACTTTTATGTATGTTTTAAGTTCATCAATTTAAAGGTTTTTAAAAATAAAACTGGAGTACATGAGAAAAGTGTTAGAAGTATAGCAATTATCAACCTATAAAACAAGTATACCACTATGCTTGATAAAAGCTACCTAAAAGAAACTTTAAAATTCGGTAATAATGAGAATGTTTATAAACACCCTACGACGACTAAGCAAAAATTTGAGCTGCTCTTTCGGTCTTTTGTTTCTGTTTTGGGAAATAGGAAAACATGAAATACTGGGTTTGGTTTGGTTTTGGTTTTTGCTTTTTTGAGACAGCGACTCATTATGTAGTTCAGAGTGGCCTTGAACTGACAGTGATCCTCCTGCCTCAGCCTTAGCCTTCCACGTGCTGAGGTTACAGACGTGTACCACCAAGGCCAGCTGAAATGCTGTTTTGTTTTGTTTTGTTTGCTTGTTTTGAAACGCTGTTTTTAGGAAACTAATAAAAAATTTAAGTTTTGGTTCCAAAAAAGTTTTAGAATCACTCGTGTTAACAAATGTATAGCTGTGATGTGCAAATTCATGCAGCTGAGGTAAACACACTTTTGGATATCCTGGCCAGCATCAAGGAGGCTCTACACAGCTGTTAACTTCCTACTGCCAAAGTTCACCACAGAGAAATCGCAGTACTATCTAAGTCAGCAGACAATTTTCTGGCTGCTCTTAAAGAAAAACTGCACATTCTAATAAGTTCTCACAAAACTTATTTTATTTTCACTACCTAAAGTCACATTCCTTTTCTTCAGATTTTCTCATACAGAGAATTCATGGTATCCAATACAGATCACTGAAATTTTTAATTTCATTTAATACAAATCCATCCTTTGCTAAACACAGATGAAAACTAGGGTCTAGAATGGTGGTGTCTCTTATTTATGAAAGTAACACAAATGTTAAAAAGACATGCTTATCACACTAATGATAGACGCAAAGTATCATGTTAACTAAGTACTGGAATTACATGGATGTAAACATATGTGTATAGTAAGTACATAATCACTTACACATAATGAAAATGCACAGGAAAATGTCTCCCCAGCAAAACTTTTTGGGCAGTATTTCTGGTCAGAGCAATGGGTTTGGCAGATAATGGTATAAGAGGCGGGCAGAGAAAGAAGAAAAACTACACACATGTACCCAGGGCAATCAAAATGTACAATGAACGTTTAAGGTTTCGGGTTTTTTTTAAACGTATTATGGTGAAGGACACATGGCCATGCCATTCGTCACTCTCCAGATACACTGGCCGCCTCTGGACGCAAGTATCTCACATCCCTGCCAACCTGAAGCAGTGCTGAAATCCTGTCTTCAGCTGTTCAGTCAAGGCCGTCAATGTCCGGGACTGCCTGAAACCATTTCCTTTCCATGATCATTTTGAGAGCTCGTTCGGAGGTTCTATCAGGGAACACACCTATTCATACAGAAAATGGTCCTCCTCTATCAGGGCTAAGGGTCCTCTTCTGCTGAGCCCGTAGCTTCGGAAGGGCCACACGTGCATGGTAAGGGAGGATGGGACACCAGTGGAGTCCGGCAGATCAGCCCAATCAACTCTGGCCATCAATGGGTGACAGATGTCACAGCCAGATTGGCCTCACATCCTCAAGATCATTTTGGTTTCTGGAAAAGCTGTAAGTCACATGGAGCCAGATCTGATTTTTAAAAAATGTGGATGAGGTCACACCACCATGTTTTTAGGAGTCACCTTTTCATCTGATAACACTCAACAGCATCATTCATTAAATTCTGGATGACACATCTTAAAGACACAAAGCTAGGCATGGTGATACAACCAGCACTCAAGAGGCTGAGGCATAAGGGTCATCAAGAACTGGAGATCAACCTGGAGTACAAGGCCTGCCTTAACTATAAACCAAGACCTGTCTCCAAAAAAGAAAAAAGAAAAAGACATTCAGGAAAGAGGACATCCTGACCTGCTTCATAAAGCGACAAGAATGATGGGATAAAGTGTGTTCAAAGTGA